CCAGAATCTGGACGTGTATGTGGATATGTGCAGAAATCGCGTTGAGTTTTTTCAACCGCACATCTACACGAACGCGTCCAGATTCAGGCGTTGAGGAAACTCAACGCTGCTAGTGGGACCTGGCCCCGGGAGAAGACAGTCGTGGGACCTCGCACTCGGCGATTCAACAATCATGGTTTTTTTTTTTTTTTTTTAATTATTTGTCGACCATCATGGATGAAGAAGAGACACTGACTCAAAGAAAGAAAAAGAAAAAGAAAAAGATAAAAATTGAAAAGGCACAGTCACTGTAGATGACGAGAAGATAAAAGGTCAGTATCTTTGAATCTGTCCCACGTACTCCCTCGGGAGACACAACATACTCTCTTGATGAATGCATAGAAGCTTCTTTTCCGGTCAGATACAGTCGTTTAGATCGTGCGTTGGGACTGTATCTGGCGGGCGCCTTGTATTATCTCTCCGTTCAAGAGCAGGGTGCGTTGTGTTCGGGGGAAACACGTCGGCGGTGTTTCGTCAGCCCAAGTACTGTGGCGCCAGCCGGGCGCCAAGTCCCACTAGCAGCGTTGAGCTACCTCAACGCCCGAATCTGGACGCTTTTGCGGAGATGTGCAGAAATGTGGCTGAGTTTCCTGAACTGCACGTCTCCACAAACACGTCCAGATTCAGGCGTTGAGGTAGCTCAACGCTGCTACCTTCTTCCCCCGAATACAACGTTCGGTCGTTATAGCTGTATTTGAGGCATTTTTCAGTCTAGATACGGCTACAATGACCGTACGTTGTATTCGAGGGAAGATGGTAGCGGGACTTGGCCCTCGACCGGTAACGAAGGAGCCCACGTCGCGGGCAACTCACGGTGAGAACTCCAATTAGTACTTGTCTAGAGCGCGAGGAGAACTTTGAGTGCGTCCTCACAGCGTCTTGGACAAGGAGCAAAGGATAGTACAAGAGAAAGAGAGTGCTTGGTTAGGCAATGTCAATTGAAAAGGGGTGAGTCGATCTGTCTGTACACATTCTCGCACTCACACACACACACACACACACACACACACACACACACACACACACACACACAGAGACAGAGAG